ATATTTTGGTCATGTGTATAACAACAATTAATGAAAACATTCGCTAGGTTGACAGAGATTTTTACGTTACAGTACACGAGTATATCACCGTTTTAAATAATGGCTGATAAAAATGGACTAGAATGATCATAAATGATTCGAAGAAATATTCCAGTGGAAAATCATCTGTCCCATGAAGATATGAAGAGAATGTAGTGTGGTCACCGTGGGCTACACAAATAGCAGCATCATCGTATACAATGGACAACAGAACAATATGGGATTATGTGATGTGATTATGATTTTAAACGTAGCTTTAACAATTTTTTAGTCACATCCTTACGACAACAGAACAAGATGGGATTATGTGATGTGATTATGATTTTAAACGTAGCTTTAACAATTTTTTAGTCATATCCTTACGATGTCTGCAGTGTGGCAGTTCATAGCGATGTCTAGCTCGGGGATCATGTCGCAGACATGTAGCATGATATCCCACCCAGTCACATTATCATGACACCTGGCCGACCAGTCCTAACACTAACTTCTTAATGCTGTGCGTCAAGCGAGGCAGCTGTGAGTACCATTTTTGTAAGTCTTTGGTATGACTCGACCGGGGATCGAAACCACAACCTACCGCATCCGATGTGGACGCTCTAACGACTAGGCTTCCGAAGCGGTTCAACAGAAGAAGAAGAAGAAGAAGAAGAAGAAGAAGAAGAAGAAGAAGAAGAAGAAGAAGAAGAAGAAGAAGAAAATGTTACGAGTTTATGCTCTTCAAATAAGTAACAGAATAGAGTTACAAGTATTAAATCCCAAAATAATCCAAAAATTACAGATGTAAAGTCAAAAAATCCAAACACTGCTAGCAATGAAGTGTCTGTTGGAGGTACTATAGCGACAAAAGTTATTTTAAGAAGGTAACGTCATGGTACTGGACACTGGAAAAACAAAGGCAACAACGTTGCAACAAGCTGACTCATTCGGGCGGAACAGTGTAGCAAGTTGGTGACCTGAATACGCGTTCCTCAACATATAAGGGAGACGCAGACACAGAGACGTGGTTAGAGACAGGATCAAGGACATAGAGAAATATTCAGATTCCAAATATCCTGGATGTTTCCATCCACAATGCTTGTGTTCCTCTCAAATGTTATAACCATGTTGACATTTCTCACACTAATGACTGTCCCTCAGGAAAACGGTGCTACGAGTAATGGTATCGATATGTTCATCGTAATGATAGACGTGAACGGATTTTTCGTCTCAGAAATGTTTGCCTCGAAACAATACAGGTCTGCGCAATTAATGAGGGTGTACCTTCAAGGTGTAGCGTGGAGCTAACAGGCTTTGCAATTTTTGCATTTCAAAAATGCCACAGAGTATGTTTTGGATAAACACAACTTGCTATAACAGGAGTTCTGATTTTCGTCGTTGTTTGGCTTGGTTCGATCTTCGAATAGTTCGCCAGGCTCTTTTCCATTATGCCGTGTCGTTTTGTCAGCATACGTTCGTCCCACCACGATGGTACGGGATGAACACATCTTGCTTCGAGTGTTGTTGATTTGGACGATATTACGCTTGATACTGCAAAGGATGTCCACCAATAACATTTCTTTGTGCATTTTCCGGTCTTTTTGGGAAGATAAACGTGTCACGGTTCCATTGGTATGTGACACTTATCATTGGATTTGCTTCACGTTTTGGGGCCCCGAGTGGCCGAGTGGTCTAAAGCGCTGTCCGTTACGGATCACTGCCATCTCACCTCTGTCAGCGTGGGTTCGAGTCTAGGATTCGGCAAATGTGGATATGTGAGAAAGCTTGCCAGTAGCTTCTCGTGGGTCGGTGGTTCTTTCCGATGATTTCCCGGTTTCTTCCCCCACCATTAATACTGGCCGCCATGAATAGCCTATCGTGTGCTGAAAAATGGCGTTAAGCCCAACAACAACAACAACAACAACAACAACAACGTTTTGGAACTTGTCAATGAGTTTGGAATGTGTCAGTTCTGACGGTCTGCTAAACTTGATCCAAATCGGTGACTTCAAACTGTCGGATAAATTCGACGGTAATGCTATCATCTTCGTTGGCTGGACATTGCCGTTTCAGTATGGTTAACAAAGAATCCCACAAATCAATGATGAACACCTCTGCTTTCTCCAGTGGTACGTCTGACTTGAAATCTTTTATCTTCACCGTGTACTTGTAGGCAATGGTTCTAACGTTTCTAGTGGAGCGTTTGTCCGTCTTTCGAATTTGGTAGTAGTTTTCATGGATTACTGGTGAGGGGTGTGGAGATTGCTGTTTGACTCTCCGGGTCTGAGTTCTGGCTCACTCATATCATCTTCAAGATCACTGGCATGGATTTAAGCCAAGAAAAACGTATCTCTTGGTTTGAGTTGCATAATAATGACCTACCCTACACGCACGCCCATTCTGGGTAAAAAAGAATTTGAGGTTGATTTGATTTTGTAAAGATTGAGTATGTTCTTTTCTAGTTATGTGGGTGGCCCTGAAAAGGACCGTTGGGTGTTTGTATTTTTTCTGTAAGAAACAAACTCAGGAACGGGAACTAATGAGCATTAAATCTATTTCTTTATCTCTGCCAAAGCATTCCTCTTGACCTATTATTGTCGACGATTTGGTGTGGTATCTCAGACCTAGTGGGAGTGTTAACGGGCTTGGAATGTTTGGCCCGAGAAGGTCTTTGTATTGGGTCGTATTAAAGAAGTATGCCTTAACTCTGCCAAAATGTCTGAGAAGAAAGGCATCGTTTGATTTTTACTGTCCTCCGTCTCTCCTAGACCATCTCTTGCTGTTGATGTTTTTTCTTCTTCTTCTTCTTCTTCTTCTTCTTCTTCTTCTTCTTCTTCTTCTTCTTCTTCTTCTTCTTCTTCTTCTTCTTCTTCTTCTTCTTCTCCTTCTTCTTCTTGCCTCATCTTCGCGCTGTTACTTTTGCTGTTGAATGAAAAAGGCTTGTTCTCATATTTTTTGCTGTTGCAAACATTTCTCTAAATTTTTCTGCCTCTGTTTTAATCCTCGACGTACAGTAAAATAGGGAAAGCGGAGAAGGTACTGGTACCGGAACAAATTAACAAATTCTTGCGAAGAGAGAAAATCCGATAAATCCCAATTAACACAGGTCTCTTCTGGAAGTAGGATTGTGGTTGTTTTAGTATCTGCTGATATACAATCACTCATCTTCTCCACAGCCAATAAATTGAATTAATTGTCTTCTTTGTTTCCGCCATGTTCTGTGTCGCATTGATACACTGCGTACACACGCTAGCGGATCCATATAGGCAATGTGACGTCACATGTAGCTGTCTTCTTGCTGTGACTGAATCTTATAACGTGTGTTGGGATTGGTGAAAGAACTAAATCCGTATCGATCCACTTATTCCACTATAAATATACTCGGTTTACTTCATTCCATTCACCAGTTGTCGTCTTAAGATGTGGACTAAGGTAAAATCGTTTACCCTCCTATCATCGATGTTGTTCAACCCGGACTATCCCCTGTCTTTCTAATCATGATGGGCCATCCCCCAGATCACCGAGACGGCCCTTTGGAAACAAAGACTCTATGGGGAGAGACAAGGCAGTCTGAAGAGTCTTAATCTACGGTCCAGAGGTTTGAGGAAGAGAAAACGATTGGTGCTATGCCCTCTATGATAACCACATGGTGTTAACAGAAAAACCAAGGCCCTTTTCAGGGCCACTCCATTGCAGCGAAAAGATTTTCATTAGCTCTTGCTATACAAATTTTTAGTCGAGTGTGTGTGTGTGTTGACTTATGTATATAAATCTATGTTTGTGTAATATGTATATATGTCTCTGTATATTTATTTAACTCTCTCTCTCTCTCTCTCTCTCTCTCTCTCTCTCTCTCTCTCTCTCTCTCTCTCTCTCTCTCTCTCTCTCTCTCTGAATCTCCACTATATTTTAAGTAACGCGTGCAACACTGTTCCGCCCGAATGAGTCAGCTTCTTGCAGCATTGTTGCCATCGTTTTTCCAGTGTCCAGTACCATGACGTTACCTCCTTAAAATTCCTTTTGTCGCTATAGAAACTCTGTAAGTATTGTTTCCATTGTCCCTATAAAACTTTCTCCCATAATGCCTGGACCCTTTCTTTTCATTATACCCTGTGTAAACAACTAATACATAACTAAATTATTCTCTGTCTTTGGGATTAGAGTCAGAATTATTACTAACAGAAGTAAATATGTTTATTTGAGTATAGGTCTAAGTCTGCTTTTTGTTTTTGTTTTTGTTTTGTTTTTTTTTTTTGTTTTGTTTTGTTTTGTTTTGTTTGGTTTTGTTTTGTATTTTGAAACATCCAGGTTATGGTTTTTATTTTGTAAACATTAGGATCATTCTGAAAGGTTATTTACCATCAGGTGATTCTTCTTCTCGAAAATGCAAATTGTGACCTGAAGTGAAGTAGAAAACTATATAATCTTGCAACTAAGAGGTTTTTCATTCCTGCTTTAAACCTAACACTTTTAAGTTGCATTATATATTATGTTCCATCTTTCATTTTTTATCTGGAAAATTTTATTTCTTCAAATAATTGAATTCAAGTGATTATTTCCTATGGAAATAAAAATATTCTCTGATAACAATTCTTAGGTAGAGATATTCACTGGAAGTTATAATGAATTCAAACCTGTAATTATTATGCTGTGAATCATAAAAGACTTTTGGCAATTCAACATTTTTATGTTTCCCCAGACACTTCATCGCCCGCAGTTTTTGGATTCTTTTTGACTTATACCGAATTTTATTCTGGTATACGTCTATATTTTTGGACTATTTTGGAATTTAATACCATAGTTCCTTATTCATTTTAATTTGCATTCTAGGGAAATAAATTATTTGTCAATTTTACAAAAGCTTGTAGCATTTAACTATTTTCCGTTACTCATTTGAAGAGCATATATTCTTCTTCTTCTTCTTCTTCTTCTTCTTCTTCTTCTTCTTCTTCTTCTTCTTCTTCTTCTTCTTCTTCTGTTACACCGCTTCGGTAGCCTAGTGATTAGAGCGTCCGCCTCGGATGCGATAGGTCATGGGTTCGATCCCCGGTCGAGTCATACCAAAGACTTACAAAAATGATACTCACAGCTGCCTCGCTTGACGCTCAGCATTAAGAAGTTAGTGTTAGGACTGGTCGGCCAGGTGTCAGGATAATGTGACTGGGTGGGACTTCATGCTACATGTCTGCGACATGATCCCCCGAGTTAGACATCGCTATGAACTGCCACACTGCAGACATCGTAAGGATATGACTGAAAAATTGTTAAAGCTACGATAAAAATCATAATCACATCACATAATCACATCTTGTTCTGTACTCCATTGTATACGATGGTGATGCTATTTTCTGCAGCCTACGGTGACGACAATACATTCTCTTCATATCTTCATGGGACAGATGATTTTCCCCTGAAATATTTCTCCGAATCATTTATGATCATTCTAGTCCATTTTTATCAGCCTTTATTTAAAACGGTGATATACTCGTGTACTGTAACGTAAAAATCTCTGTCAATTTAGCAAATGTTTTCATTAATTGTTGTTATACACATGACCAAAATATTAGACACTGTATTGAAATGTCGGGTCTTATTCTCCAGTTGTAGTTCAGGAGACCAGGAACAAACAACCAAGCGGAGCTAGTAGACTTCTAAGAGATACAAATCGTAGCTAAGGCCAAGCTGCATACTCTCTGACCCAATTTAAACTCACGAATCTTACCCCTTAATAATTTTGAATTAATTTTTTTTTCTTTAAAAAAGAACTTTACCTACACAAAGATTATCAATTAGGAAAATCTCAGTAATTCTCTTTCTTTAAATATCAAAATTATGCAAAGTACGAAACACTTGAATGAATCCTATGTTAGATCGATCATCGAATGAAGTTTAGTTCTGGAAGTTATTTCCCACGTGATGGTTGACGCGAGAAAGTCACATGTTTTCTTCTCTTCAGTCAATTCAAGAATGATGGTATAGTATAAATATCGTTTTATAATACTTCTGTTATCTCATTTTGATTTATAAAGCAAGTGGTTTGCCTTTATGTTACGATTTGCATTATCGAAAATAGGTTTTACTCAGAAACCTGTTAATGTGTAACCGTTCTAGTGTAAGGCAGGTAAATTTACATTTATTTCATACTTATATATATATATATATATATATATATATATATATATATATATATATATATATATATATATATATGTATGTATATATAATACAAACAGTAAATATGTTTGTATTAAGTTCTCAAGGTCATTTGTACTTTTAGCGGCAGACTGGTATCTTAAAATGTAGTGTTTCCGTCTTAGAAAATCATATCACGATAAGACATAATATCTTCCAGGCTGCTTTGCAGTTTCTTGATTGAATGAATTATTCATGTTTAAAAAAAGGATTAAATAACATACCATAAATTATAGTTGATATCAGTCTGGTTTTACCGTGTTCCCATTTTTTAAATAGCACCATGACTGACGTACATGGCCGTTATCGATGAATGAAAATCTGCAGTGATGCTAACTGGTCTACCATGGTAGTGACTTCCAGACTCTAGACTGGATAAATATAGTCTTGGATTAAAGTCTCATTAATGTATCAAATTGCTGCAGAGAAATGTGAAGCATAGAATTATACAGCAACTGTCATTCTTTAAAATGTTAATCATCAGAACAATGGATTTAGAGCCTTAAAGATTGTATTGGCAAAGTCGTCGTTATTGACGTCAAAAGGACAATTTTAATCTGTTTGCAAAAGCTGACCTTCATATTTTGAACATTAAAAAGGCATTTGACCAGTAATGTACAACTTATATTTAAAATATTCATACTTGTAAGCTGTCTTCCAATAACAATGTAATCAGGGATTACAAAGGATTTGGTGGATTTTTAACGCACACTTAAATTATATATATTTTCTACACCATTCTAGATGCGTGAACTACAAAATATCGGTTTTATTTTTAAAAAATTAATATCATTTTAGTCCTATATCATAGGAAAAACTTCTAATGTCATTAAAAAAGAAAACAACAAAGACTTAAAAAATATAGTAAATAAATGTTGCTCAAGGGATATATATATATATATATATATATATATATATATATATATATATATATACATACATATATATATATATACATATATATATATATATATATATATATATATATATATATATATATATATATATATATATATATATATATATATATATATATATATATATATATATATATATATATATATATATATATATATATAGTTCAGATATACGGACAGGCTAAAGATTATCTATAACCAAGAAAGGTCAGCATGTCATTATAATTCTGACGTCAATGATTGGGTGGCGTACGTGACTGGGGATGAACTTAGCGCATGGAGCTTTTATTAAAGGAATAGTAAAAACCATCTGATCATCGACCTAAACAATTCATCAAATTGATCCATTCATCTTAGGTTAACTTTGTACATACATATACATGCCTGTTGTTATTTTTGTTTTGATGAGTTTAACGTGTCTCTCTCTCTCTCTCTCTCTCTCTCTCTCTCTCTCTCTCTCTCTCTCTCTCTCTCTCTCTCTCTCTCTCTCTCTCTCTCTCTCTCTCTCTCTCGGACAGAGGTGAAATGGGACACCTTTTGAGTATGTCAAACTGTAACTGTGGTATACTGCAGTACTTGCTGACAGTACTTAATTTGTTTCAGCGTGTCAGGAATTCAGCATCTAACGCACATTTCCATGTTTGAAGTGAGTTTTGGTTTCATGAGTTGTTTTTCTTTAGACATAAAATTGAAATTTGGGATCGAACATTAATTCGGAATTTGAGGTTCAAGAAGAGTGATGATGTGAAAAAAGGAAAAATTATGGACTCCGAAATAATTCCGGTATATTGAGCGGCATAATGAATGCTGGTTTGTTATTAAGAAGCTTCACTTATCGAGACAAGTTCAATTAGTAGAGAGTGTCTGGAGATTGTTGCCTGCTTGAAGCCAATTGGTGCAATAACTCAAATACCCGTATTCAGTTCTCAGTTGTGGACAAGTCATTATACAAGTCTTTTATCAGTATGATAACATTTTTCTATGTGTTGTTTTACATCGTACTGTCATGCAGCCTCCTGTTTGATGTAGGGATACAACTTTCAACGTGTCGGGTGTCAACACGTATTTGTAATGTTTAATAACAAGGTCTAGAATTTAGAGTGACTATATATTTAGACGGCTAATTGCTGGCTGAACAAGTGAGCACGTCTTTCAGGTACAAGAGCCTATGTTCACGATCAAGTTATGTCCATGTTCTGTGTGTGCATGTGTGTGTGTGTGTGCGAGTGAGAGAGAGAGAGAGAGAGAGAGTATCGCAATGTTCCTTACGTAACGATACTCATCCAGATCAGTACAATTGCGAAAAAGCGAAATATTTTGGATGAAAGCAGGAGACAAGATAAAGTGATTACCCCAAAATAGACACATTAAATCTCAATTAAGTATAAAGGAAATCACAAGCACACTTTGATTTTAGTTACAAAAATGTATCACCGAAGCGTACTGATATAAATAGATGTATGTCTTCGCAATTTTCGAGACGTCGGATATATAATTCAGGTTAATAGTACGTATTTCTCGAAATCCTAGATCAAGTTTTAGATGATATTTTTGCGCTTTTTACAAAGTACCAGTTTAATTACGTAAACGGAAACGCCAACATTAACATTACATTTAAATTTATTTACATTGAAGTCTTATGCAGCAAATTTACATAACGATGTTAAGCGATGCTGATTACTTCTATATTTGATACCACCATATCCACCACTCTCTCTCTCTCTCTCTCTCTCTCTCTCTCTCTCTCTCTCTCTCTCTCTCTCTCTCTCTCTCTCTCTCTCTCTCTCTCTCTCTCTCTCTCTCTCTCTCTCTCTTTTTAGAGGCATTCTACATCCTCCTTAATCGAAAATGAAATGTTTGCTGCCTTAGCATGAATGTAAAACACATTTATGTACTTTATCTCCAACCCCCCTGTAAATACTATATTAGTGCATTTCTATTTTAAATGAAACTTTATGTTTATCAGTTTCATGGAATTTTATGTAACATAGAGATAGGTATGACATGTACATTATGATCTTCTACACCGATTACTACTTAGTTAAATTAATAATTGTACATGGTACCGATACATGTTTGACTAATCACAATTCCATTCGATGCAATGATTTAAACACGCATGCATCCTTACCAATCCACCCACAAGCACGCATGCAAGCGCACGCACACAGATTCTCATACGCAATGAAACAAAAAGTTGCATTTTTTTCGTATTTTGTCACAAGGCAGAACCGACAGAATCGGGTTTTTGTATTTATAGGTCATATACGTTATATTTATATGTATAAGGAAATACTTTAAAAATGATAATATCATTTTCCTCAATGATATATTTAAAAAATCTCATTATGAAATATACAATAAAGCGAAATATCTTGCCCAATAAACTGTAGATCAGGGTCAAAGTTTCACCTAAAATCATAAACAGTAGAAACATGGTAGACCCCGATCTTTCAAAGTTTCATGCAGTAGCAAATCCGTGTCTACGTCGTTCGCAAATAGGTGTGGCTTATATACCACCAAATACAGCATTTAATTGCGACGAAAAAAATGTGCCACAAAATCGCCACTCAATTTAAGTGTCTGACGAAATATGTTTATCTTATGATTTAGCAACTACAGTATGATTTTCCGAAGTTGTTAGTTTTTAGAGTGAATTCGGCACCTGCAATTCTTTTTACAGAGTAAATAGTATGTTTTGTATCAGAAGTTTCCAAGTGGTGGACTGAAAAGAGAGTTAGGTTCATTTGGACGAATCTGTATTAGATTTGTGATTCACTTGGGACACTACACCGTACTTACTAGAACCCAGACGTAGGATAGATCATACATGCAAGACACTACACCGTGCATAATAGACACACACTTGGGATCGGCCATAAATCTAAGACACTACACCGTGCACACTACACCCACACTTGGGATCGGTCGTAAACGTAAGACATTACG